GGCCAGCGTGCTGAGGCCGCCGAGGGCGGCGCGGGCTTCGGAGCCGGGCGGCGCCGCGGCCATGGGTGCCCTGACGAGCCGGCAACACGCGGGCGTGGAGGAGGTGGACATCCCGTCCAATTCGGTGTACCGCTACCCGCCCAAGTCTGGTGAGGGCCGGGCGCGCGCCGCGGGCCGGGCGGAGGGGAGGCCTCGCGTCGGATGTTTGGGGCGGGCGGGCGACCCGGGGGTCCCGGGCCGCCCGCGTCGGCCTTGGAGCCGGGGAGGTCTGCGGGAAGCCCGGGGGTCCTCGAGGTCGGGTACCGGGACAACGCGGCGCAGCGGGGCTGCGTCAGGTGCCTGCGGGGTCACCGAGGTCATCTTCCGCGGAGCACCGGAGCGGCCTCCGGGGTAATCTGCCCTGCGACAGGGATGCGGCAGCGGGGTCGGAAGGCGTGGGGCGCAGCCTGGTGCTCGGCGGGGCGTGCGGGCGCAGGGAGGCCTTCGTGGCATCCCTAGCAGGCACCTGTGCCAGGTGTGGTCCAGGCCTGGTCCAGGCCTCGGGGTCGGGGGGTGGGGTCTGCTGCGGGGGAGGGGGCGAGGAAGGGGGAGGGGGAACGAACTTGCATTTGCAGTCCTTCGCTTTTCCGGAGGCTGTCAGAAGGAAAATAGCAATATTTGGGAATCTGACCGTCAGAGGCACTTGGATGGCCCCTTTGTCCGTTTGGCTGGGGATGAGGCAGCTGTGTTTTCAGGAGCATCTCTTGACTGAAAAGGCTAAATGCCTGCAGACCCCGCTTGTGACATCTGCATTCGCATTGCAGGGGAGTTTTGACAGCAGAGGGGAGAGGATGACGGGGTAGTCCAGTTGAGGGAGGCCAGTCTGAGCTGGCTGGCGCATGACCCAGCTGTCTGCACTTTTTTTTATTTAATTTTTTTTTTTTTTAATGTGCTGTTCTTAACAGCCCTGGACTCATGTCTTCCACCTTCTCTCCGGCATAAGGACCTGATGGGGATTTGGATGATGGCAGAGTGAGGCATCACAATTGGAGCAGTTCCCGTTCTCCTTTTAGTAGAATAAAGACATGCTAATGAGGCGAGTACTGTTTCTCAGCAGTACGTCCAGATTCTGCCAGGTGGAAGCTGGGACCAGACAATGAACTTGCCGCCCTGCAGAGCGTCAGGGAGAGCTCTAATTCTCACTGCTGTTGTGAGCCCTTGCAAAAAATTAGTAAAATCTGCTTTAGAAAGGTCTAAGATAAAGCCACCATTGTTAGTGTTGCCATAAAGATCTTGCTAATTATGACTGTATGGTTACTTTTGTCTAATAAAAACACAGTGCACGCCTTCTTAGCATTATGCTAAAGATGGCATGCAGCTGGTGTCCCACACCTATGATCTCAGCACCTGGAGGCTGAGGCATGAGGATCCTAAGTTTGAGGTCAGCCTGGGATGTGTAGTCAGACTGTCTCAAAGAAACTACAACAACAAAAAGAAGGCATACTTAGCTTCTCCAGTGCTGGGATTACAGGTGAGAACCACCATACCTGGCCTCCATCTAGCAGAGATCCACCTGCCTCCCAAGTGGTGGGATTACAGGTGCATACCACCATGCCCAACTCTTAAAACATTTGGCTTTTATTGATCAAAATATGGAACATATTTTGCTGAGCTTCGAGTTTGCAGTAGAATTTGCTGCCTTTGATGAATATTTACCCTTCCTGTACTTTCGGGAACTAACAAAGGTAAATCTCTGAAAGGCTGTTCCCCAAGGGATATTAGGAGAACTGCAAATCATGAACAATAAAGGAAAAGTGAGCCAAACTAAAACCTTTCTGAGGGGGGGAGGGAAGGGAATTCATCTTGAGACAGGGTCTCACACTTAGTTCGGCCTGTCCTGCCACTATGGAGCCCAGGTTATCCTTAAACTTGAGGTAATCCTCTTGCCTCAGCCTTCCAAATCCTGGGATTACGGGTATAAACCACATCTGGCTCTAAAATCTTTAGCACGCTACTACTTAGTCTAAATAATTCTCCTTACTCTACCAGTCTTTGAAGATTTTTACCTAGTTATAACTTATTTTTATCTCTTTTTTGTTGTTATTTTGAAATAGGGTCTTAATGTAGCACAGGCTGGCCTCAAGTTGACTATGTAGCCAAGAATGACCTTGAACTTCTGATCCTCCTGCCCAACTCAGGGTTTCCTTCATGCTAGGCAAACACTCACCAACTGAACTACATCCCTAGCCAAGCATGGTAAAATGTTTTTATTTGTTTTTTGAAACAGAATTTATGTATTCCAGGCTGGCCTTAATCCCCCCCCCCCTTTTTTTGAGACAAGTTCTTGCTACATAGCCTAGACTGACTTTAAACTTTTTAAAAAGATTTATTTTATTTTTTATTTTATTTTATTTTATTTTATTTTATTTTATTTTTGTCTTTTTTGAGACAGGATCTCCCAGTAGCCCAGCTGTCCTGGAACTCACTATGTAGACCAGGCTGGCCTTCACCTCACAGAGATCCTCCTGTCTCTGCCTCCCGAGTTCTGGGACTAGAGGCAAGCGCCACCACACCTGGCTAAAAGAAAAGGTTTATTTTATTTTTAATTATGTGTCTGTATGGGGATATGTGTACATGAGTGCAGGTGCCCGCAGAGGCCAGAGGCATTGGATCCCTTGGAGCTGGAGTTACAGGTGGTTGTAAGCTGCCCAAAGTAGGTGCTGGGAATTGAGATCCTCTACAAGAGCGTACATGTCCTTAACCACAGGGCCATCTTAACCACAGGGCCATCTTAACCACTGGGCCATCTTAACCACAGGGCCATCTTAACCACTGGGCCATCTCTCCAGCCCCTTGGCTTCTGACCTTGGAGGTCAGAAGAGGGCATTGATTCCCCTGGAACTGGAATTAAGGATGGTTCTTAGCCACCCACATGGCACCACCATGCTCGCCCTAGAGGCAGGGTCTTCCTAAATTGCTCAGAACTCTTAATCTTGCTGCCTCAGGCTGTAGAGTAAGGTAATGGGATCACAGGTGCATTCTGTGCTTGGCTCTGCTTTACTTGTTCTTGCCAAGTAGGTGCTAAGTTTGAATTTTTAGTTGTTGTAAGAGTGCTTGAACCCAAAACAAAATGACTCAGATTTTTTTGGTCTTTTTGAGACAGGGTCTCCCTGTAGCCCCAGCTGGCCTGGAACTCACTATGTAGACCAGACTGGCCTTGAACTCACAGAGATCTACCTGCCTCTGCCTCCCAAGTGCTGGGATTAAAGGCGTGTGCCACCATGTCCAGCTTCAGTTTTTATTTTTAAAAATCATTATTAGCCAGCATGGTGGTGCACACCTTTAGTCCCAGCACTTGGGAGGCAGAGGCAGGGGACTCTGAGTTCCAGACCAGCCTGGTACACATACTGAGTTCCAGGTCAGCTGGGGCTACAGGGAGACCCTGTCTCAGAAAAAAACAAAAAATAAAACAACAACCACAACGACAAAAAAAAGCATTATTTCAGCAGGGCGTGGTAGCTCATCCCTTTAATCCCAGAACTCAGGAGGCAGAGGTAGGTGAATCACTTTGAGATGGAGGCCAGCCTGGTCTACATAGCAAGCTCCAGGCCAGCCGGAGCTACAGGGAGACCATGTCTCAAACAGCAACAACAGAAATTATTTCAAAATTCCATTCCTTCCAAAATTTCACTGCTAATCATTTAGTGTCACAGGTAAGAGATGTGTAGGCAGAAATAAAAATGCAGACTATCTCGTAATTAAGTAGGCTCTGTGCTGTTAATGTGAACTTTACTTCATATATGAAATCAGTGTTGATAGGGTCTCCAGTGTCTTTTAGGCTGGCTTTGAACTTAATGTGTAGCCAAGGAAGACTTTTAACTTCTTACCCTCCTGCTTGCCTCTCCCAAGTACTGGGACTATAGGCATGGGATCAAGTCCAGGGCTCTATGAATGGGAGGTAAGCACCCTACCAACTGACTTATAGCCCCAGACCTTTTTTTTTTTTTTAAAAAAAAAAAAAAAAAGAAAAAGACAATCTCACAGAACCCAAGCTGGCCTGGGATATAGCTGAGAATTACCTTGAATTCCTGATTTTCTTGCCTTCACCTCCCAAGTGCTGAGATCACAAGTATGAGCCGTGATGACTAGCTCATTAACATTAAAAAATAACCATAGAACCACAGAAATCAAGATAATATGTAGACTGGGGATATAGTTCAGTGGTAGAGTACTTGCCTAGCATACACAAGGTCCTGGGTTCAAGTCCTAGCACTATAAAAAATTAAATTTTGAAAAGATAATATGGGCCGGGCATGGTGGTGCACGCCCTTAGTCCCAGCACTCAGGAGGCAGAGGCAGGCAGATCTCTGAGAGTTAGAGGCCAGCCTGGTCTACATAATGAGTTCCAGGCCATTTGGGACTACAGGGAGACCCTGTCTCAAAAAGACCGAAAAAAAAAGTTTAAAAAAAGACAATATGGTATTGGTATAACAGAAGACATATTTTAGATCAATGACACATAATTGTGAAGCAGAAACAAACACATTTATCATCGGTTGACTTTGTTTGTTTTGACAGGGTATAGCTATGCCTGGAACTCAGAGAAAGGCATGTGCCACCAAGCTTGGCTCATAGATGTAATTTGAAAAAAAAAAAAAAAAAGCTTTAAAATGGGCAAAGGCCAGGCATGGTGATGTACATCTTTATTCCCAGCACTTGGAGGCTCAGGCAAGAGGATCACAACAGTAGTTGACGATCATTCAACTACGTAGTGAGACTGTCTCGGAAAAGAAAACGAAAGAAAGAAAAAGGCAAAGTACTCAATGGACATTTCTCAAAAAACTACCTACAAAGGCCAGGCGTGGTGGTGCACACCTGTAATCCCAGCACTCAGGAGGCAGAGGCAGGCAGATCTCTGTGAGGCCAGCCTGGTCTATATAGCAAATTCCAAGCCAGTTGGGGCTACCAACTGGGAGACCCTGTCTCAAAAAAGAAACAAAAAACAAAAAACTATGTACAGTGGACAGTAGGGCAGTATGCACATGAAAAAAAAGCACACATTATTCACCCTCAATCAAAATTGGTTAGAATTGGGTGTGGTGACATGGCTGTAATCCCACTCTTCAGGAGACTGAGGCAGGAAGATTCGGAGACTTTTTAGACCAGCCTG